AATTAAGAATTAAAGTAGTTTTTAAATTATTTAAAATTAAAAAAATCCATATAATCATCTTTTACATGATAGATTTTCCACATAATATTGAAAATGTAAAATAGTTAATCATTTAGCGAAAATATTAGCTATATCAACACTTAATTGACGAAAAATGAAATCGGTGTTGAAAATTGAAGTTAAAGGATGTTTTTGCTATTTTCTAAAGTTCAAAAATGAATTAGTTTAAAAATAAAAGTTGAGAGACCAATTCAGGTATTTAACCTAAAAAAATATATTAACCGCATTATCACCAATTAATTCTTAAATAAAAAAAAATTAAAAATTGACATCTTTAAATAAAAAAAACTTAAAAGTTAATATTTTTATCTAAAAAAAATTAAAAATTAATATTTTTATTTAAAAATAAAAAAATAATATTTTTAAATAAAAAATATATAAAATTAATATCCTTATTTAGGGTTTTCCACTTGCTACTACCAGCATAACTTCATTTTTTGTTTTATTGGGTAGATATAAAATTACAATATCCAATTATCTTAAAAAAAAAAAAAATAATCTATCCATTTATTCAGATTTATGTATATATATAAGCTGGAATTAACCTCTCGTCCCGTTGCGTTGATACTTGTTTTCCAAACCGGAAAATGTCACTCACCTTGCAATCTCCGCCGTCGCCACCTCTCTCATCACCATCTTCTTCTCAGGTATGAACAATTTCTTATTCTTAGGTATTGTTTGGATTGGAGGTGTCGGACGGAGAGGGAGGGGAAGGGATGGGGACAGATGGCAAGGGAGGGAGAGTGAGGGGGGGCTGTCTCATTTCTCCTGTTTGGGTTTCAAAAGAGGCATAGGGGAGGGAGATGGACTGATTCAGACTCCCTTCAACCACCCTCAAATCTGTAGATTTGCAATTCGCCCGATTTGGGGGGTTTGAGAGAGATTTGAGTGACTGTTTAGATTATGTTAAATGTAATTACAAAATTAATCTTAATTTTTTTATTATATCCTTTTCTTTCTTGTGGCAACAGCACCAAAACTCTCCTTCTCCTTCTTGCTGGCAACAACACCAAAACCAGAGGATTCAATAGAGGCCATAAACCAGTAAGTATACCCCTTGTTCTTTATTATATTTTTGTTTCTCTATTTTTTAGTTTCAAGTCTATTGTTGCGTTTGTTTGAGATTAATACATGTCAATACCAGTTTTCTCCACTTATTATTTTTATTTTTTGTGATGACCCTGCTGCCATGTCTTTTTTTGTTTCATAATGGCCTTCGGTTTCTTCACTGGCCGGAGCAAAATTTAAGGTTCTGCTCTTGCCAGTGAAGTAACTTACCAAAGCAAAAATTTAATTTTTGAAACAATTGTTAAGCAATTTTTATATTATGTGTTTATTGTCTATAAAAGTAGAATTTTTGCAAAATCATCTTTCAATGCTCTTACAAGTGCCGCTTTAACACATAATATCTAAATATTATATTAAGGTATCTTCCCTTAACAAATCGCAGCAAGTAAAAACGAATAGGTAGCTCCATTACAAGCTTAAATTTGTAAATTTAAAATTAATTTAAATCCTTCTCTTTCTTTCCTTCCTTTTACTTTAATTATCCAAATATAAAATAATACAATTCTTTCCTTCCTTCCCTTTCCTCATTTTTATTTATCCAAACAAAATTAACCTAAACAATTTTCTTCTATTTTCTTCCCGTCCCTTTCTTTTCCTCCCCCTCCATTTCCTTTTATTTTCCTCCATTCCCCTCCCTTCCCTTCCCTTCCCTTCCCTTTACTATTTTCTATCCCAACAAGGAGTTAATGTCTTACGGCAACTTATATATCCATAGCTGTTTGAATTGAATTGAATGAATCTCGAACGGAAAACAGGGGAGATCGAGACTGAGGTTGGCCAATGGATC